GCTGGCACGAGTGGGAACGTGGCGGTGGAGGCGCCCCGCCAGCCCTCGATTCGCGAGCTTCTCCGTCTTCCGCTTGGGAGGGAGGACGAGCCTTACTTGGCGCGGGAGGTGGGTGCTCTCCCGCGCGGCGCGGCCACCGATCCGTTAATGGGCCGGTGGGACGGTCTCACCCGGGGCAGCCGGGTGTGGGCCGACGGGGATTGTGTGGCTAGATTCGTCCGCGGAGGGCTTCATCCCAACATAGCTCGGGATTTGTACACCTTGCCCTCCGAGGTCTTGCTTAGCAAATCCGCTAAGTCGCTGTTGTGGGTAAGTGTTGTTTCGTCCTCCTGCTTGTACATTTTTGGACAGACTTTGTTTTGACCTCGCCCTTTCCCCAGGGTAACCACTATGCCGTCGCGCTAATGGACCGCGTTCGTGACGCAGGACGAGTTATCGCCGCCCTGAGCAGCCGCAATGCCGAGCTCTGGAGGCAGGCGGACAAAGCTTGGGCTGGAGCGGGTCCCGAGGCGGTCGCGGCGGCCGAGCAGCGCGCCTCGGATTTGGAGGTGGAGGTGACGCGCCTTCGATATGAGCTCCAGGCGTCCGCGGAGCGGCTCGTGGAGTTCCAGGCGCGGTTGGAGGTGTCCGAGGAGCGTAATACGGAGCTCCAGACGCATTTGAGGGCGTCGGTGGCCGAGGCTCGCTCGGCGAGGACGGACTCTCTCGAACTGATCCGGCGCCTCGAGGAGTCGCGAGCCGAGGCACGGGGTGTCTCCGAGGCCCTTGATGCCGAGATCTGCCAAAGGCCGGGGAAGGACAAGAAGCTGATCGAGGACTACAAGGGTTCCTCGGGCTTCCAGCTCGGCCTTGTTCGGACCGGGCGGGTCTTGTACAAGTACGAGTATCGGGTTGCCCTTGCTCGTTTCAAGGCGCGCAATCCTGACTCGGAGGTCATAGAGGATCCCTTTGGTTCCTTCCCCGAGGATTTAGGCGTTAACATGCCAGCTGAGGTTCCCTTCGACGACAGCCCAGATGCCCCCGAGGAATGAAGACCTCTGTACTTTTTTGCTTCGTTTTGTAACGCGCTTTTTAAATAAACATGGTCTTTCTCTTCTTCTCAATTGACTGTCTGCGTCTTGGTACGGTTCTGTTCTTTGGCCAAGTCTTTGCTTATGGAAATAACCTTTTGAGATTTTGGGTGTTCCAAGTCCTTGGCAGGGAGTGACCCATCATCGTGGTGAGTCGGAATGTACCGGTTCCGATGACTTCGGTCACCCGGTAAGGGCCTTCCCAGCTGGGAGCCAACTTGCCTCGTGCCCGGGTCGGATCGCTGACCTCGGTCCTCCGTAGGACTAGGTCGCCTAGTTTGATGGGTCGGGGTCGTACCTTTTGGTTGTACACCCTCGCGACCACTCTTTTATAAGAGAGGTCTCTTACATGCGCGTCGGCGTGCCGCTCCTCCAGTAGATCGAGGGCGGCTCGAAGTCCTTCGTCCGAGGCTTCCTCATCATAGCTTCGTGTTCGAAGGGTGGCGATGGCTACCTCGGGTGGGAGGACAGCTTCAGTTCCGAACGCGAGGCTATAAGGGGGCTCTCCAGTTGCGGTTTTGGGAGTGGTGCGTAGCGCCCGTAGTACGCTCGGGAGTTCGTCCGTCCAAGCTGATCGAGCCGCGGACACTCTTCGTTTGAGCCCGTCTAGGATGGACCGATTGGTCACCTCCGCCAGCCCGTTTGTCTAAGGGTGAGCCACTGAGCTGAACTTTAGCTGGATTCCGTGGTTCGCGCAGAACTCCCGAAACTTCCGACCAACGAATTGGGGCCCATTATCCATGATGATGGTGTTCGGCAGGCCGAACCGAGTCACCAAGTTCTTCCACACGAACTTTTCTATTTGCCGTTCCGTGATTGTCGCCAATGGCTCGGCCTCTACCCATTTTGTGAAATAATCTACGCCTACGACGATGTATCTCCGCTGTCCCGAGGCTAGGGGGAAGGGACCGAGGAGGTCCAAACCCCATTGCGCGAACGGCCACGCGCAGTCAATGGGGGTTAACGGGACTGCGGGCAACCGGGGTGTGCGGGCATGTTCTTGGCATGAGCTACACCGTTGCACGTGGGTCTTTGCGTCCCGACACATGGTCGGCCAGTAGTAGCCCTGGCGGAGTATTTTATGTGCCAGGGTCCGCCCGCCGATGTGTTCCCCGCAGACCCCTTCATGGACCTCAGCTAGGACGGTCCGGGCTTCGTCGGGCTCTAAGCACCGTAGGAGGGGGTACGAGAAGGACCGCTTGTAGAGCCGTCCACCCACCTCGGTGTACCATGCATGTGTGCGACATAGGCGCCGAGCTGTCGCTTTGTCGGACGGGAGAGTCCCGTCCCGTTTGAAGCGGAGCAATTCTTGTACCCAGGTGGTAGTCGCGCTACTCGAGGCTGCGGCTGCGATTTTGATGGCGCGGGCAGGTAGCTCCTCGACCCCGGGCCTGACTTCGGGGGCTGGTTTTGATGCCAGCTTAGCTAGTGTGTCGGCGCACTCGTTTTCTCCCCTTGGGACATTAGATAATGTAAAATGAAGGAACTTGGCGGTCAGGTTCTTTACCTATGCCAGTTATTTCGCCATGGTCGGGTCGCGGGCCTCGTATCCCCCGCTGAGTTGCTCGGCGCAACAAGTTCAGTCTATAGTAAGCTTTAACAGTCCATAGCTCATATCTACTTTAATCTAACTCTAGATCTAATAAAGGGACATGATGAGTATAAAAAATGAGAAAAAAAACTATAACAACAAAGTAAAAAACTACAGTAGTAGAAGCAGAAAACTACAGTAGCAATTTGATTCAAACAAGATGAGAAAATGATATAAAAATAAGATAAAGGAAAGAAGATAAGGACAACGAATAGAGTCTTTTCTCAATCATCCAAGCAATATTCTCATCTCAGGTTAGATTAGATCTACAATATATTCTTACTATAATTACTTAAGGAGATTTTGGATATTGTGTATAGTGACATAATCCTTATATCCTAATTATTCTCTTGAGATTGTTGCTTGGACTTTAGACAAAAGAATCTGAGATTTATTTATTTATTATTCTTATAGTGGATTATCTCTGGTTTATCCCATGATTTTTATCCTTCATATAAATCTTATTATCATATTTTATTATAATTTTTATTTAATCTTATTATATATTACGATCTGTTTGTATTTGTTCGTATACAAGAGTTTATTTCTCTTTTTATAATTCAATCAATGTACTTTCATTATTTACTGCGATGCTATGCAACTGTTTATATATATATATATATACAGCTGTTGAGGAACCGAATAATCTGCCGCTGTTTGGTTGGCGAGACGTAGCAGATTTTAGACCTCAATCTGGCATCAAATTTCCATAAAGTTGATGTTGGAAAATAAACTTAATTATTTATCTAAGATTTAATATTTAAAATACAAAATCTCGATCGAGTTCTTTGACCACCTCTCAATCTCTCGTTCCTCTTTCTAATCTTCTTGTCGACAACTGCTTATTGTTGGCTTACCAAAAACATAAAGAGGCTGCAACCCTAAGTAGAGATCCTCGACGATACACTTGAGAAAGCTTGTTCTGTCCCGATTCAGATGCTGCCACGAATCAAAGGAATTAAAAGGAAACAAGGATAAGGCAACGGCGCGGGTCCACGGATGCCCATCGCGACGATCCTCACCCCCCACACGCTTCCCCATCCACCGCCACATTTGACTGCACCGCCGCCCATCTCACGTCGGCATCGGCATTTTAGAAAACACGAGCTATTTGATGATGCGGGCAAACATACCCGTCTCTACTGATACGGCGGTATAGATTCATTCCAAAGGGGCCCAGCATTTTGGCCCAAGCTAACGAGGCACGTAAGTGGGACGGGTACGAAAAGAAAGCATTGCTCTCGCCGGAACGCAGTGCGTGGCGTGTTGCTCGGCGATCCACGTCTGGTGGCGCCCCGCATCAGTTGCGGCGACGTAACGACGGCGTAAGTTACGTCTGGTTGAAGACACGACGGCACTGTCGTCTAGGCGCCGTTACAACTCAATGCCAGGTCACTGCTTTCGGCGTCTCACACTATAAATAACACGCCATCTAAGCCCCCCATCACGTATCAGTCGGTCGTCGCCTCAAGGCTCGTCTCTAAGAATCAAGAAGCAACCAGGCTTGTCTTTTTTCTTGTGTTGCTTCATCCGATGACAACAGTGGCCGAGGAGAAGAATTCCATGGCGAGGAACCCTATCACCACCTCTTCGACCCACGCCACGGCCGTATCATTGGCACCCACAGATCACAAAGCCCCATCGTTAAGAGACGGCAGCCAAAGCAATAGCAGCAGAGGCGGTAAGAGGAATAACTCAGCCGCTAATTTTGTCGCTGGAGGAGGAGACGCCGGCCTCCAGCCGCGGGATATCGCGGTCAACAAGGTGAGAAGAGGGGAGCGCTTTGCAGCGGAGGAAGAAGAGGAGGACATCAACGAGGTGGCCGATGCCTTCATCAGGCGCTTCAGAGAGCAGCTCCAGCTGCAGCGCCTCCAGTCCATCGAGAATTATAATCAAATGCTCGCTAGAGGTCTGTGAATTAATTGCATAGCGTGTGGGATGTCGGTTTGTGTTGTTCACTTAATCTTTATTTATTAGGGATGGGAAAAAGTCCGAATAGAAGATGATATCACATCGATTGCAAGTCCCAATACGTCCAATCGATGTGATATCTTCTATTCGCACCAACAGGACCAAAAAATAAAACAAAAAAACACCGAGAAAAGGAGGTCAAAGCACGTCACTTCATGTTCATGATCCTTATTTTGAGTAGTGCCACATCTAGCAATATGCCCAGTGGAAACATAGATGAAACTGTCGCACCCACCTCGGTCCAATTAACACAATCAAGCCGCCTAATCATGCTGATTCCAACTTTAATAGTTTACAAGCACGTGAATGCCACAGGAATTATATGATCCTGTTACTCAATTAAAAACTACCAACAAAAAGCACTTGAATTTTGACGTTCACAACAGAGGTACTGTGGCTTTTATTAAAACATCCAGTGTTGCTGCAGTTCTATTTATTTGTACTTAACTGATTTGTTTATTCAAGCAAACTCATAAGAATGACTGTTAGAAATCAATAAAATATAGTTTGCAACTTGATGACATCTACAGTAACATATTTGTTCCCCATCAACCTGACAAGAATCCGTAGGAATTAAATAGTCTTCTCATCACAGGGATGGTTGAAGCTGGGAGACAGGCGCATGATCTGTTAGTTGTCTATTGTGTTGCTGAAACAAGGGATGAAAAAGTTGAACTCCATCCCTATATGATGGTGTCTGCATTTCGATCAAGCGTGACACCTGCAAATAATGCCCATTACTAATTTGAAAATCATGATGAAGTTACTTTTAAAGGCTCAAAAACATTCAAGCCAATTTAGCTACTAAAATCAAGGGACAATGGAAGATGCATTAAGTTATGACAAGTAAATAGCAAACTAAATACAACTCATAAAATTGTATTTACATCACTATGTCCACACACATGCTTAGTCACAACTTAGCTACTAAAATCAACTCATAAAATTGAATTTTACTCTACATTGCTTGTCAAAAAAACGACCACCCTTATTTTAGTAATTAAGATGCTGCTAATTCCAACAAGAAAACTATCCAACATAGGGTCTATCGGACAGAACATTGTCAAAAACTATCTTTGTTATTTATACTTTTGTTACTCCAATTACTTCAGTTTGTCTTTGGGGAGACACCTCAGTGGTTAGGGTACCAGAAAAGGACTTCGATTCACATTGTCAGTATCTAGTGTGCATTGTCAAAAAGGAGTAAAAAGATTTGAAAATTTGCCTTGGCTTATTTCTTTCCTGCTAGAAACTATCTTTCTGAGGGTATATGTCCAAATACCCCAACATTTCTAAGCCAAACCTCTCTATCAACTGAACTTTTTGAAATATTTGCTTGTCCTTAAAAGGCAGAAATCCTCGATCAGTTTTGCAAATTGCCTCTTAATATAAATTTTATATTAAAACCTACAAAAGTTCTCATACATTTTTTCTAAGTCTATGAAAAGTATAGTAAGATAGACTCATTTAAGCTGATAATTGCATGTATCATTGTAGATCTAATGTATTAATAAAAAACATCCACTTCAAGAAGTTAAACTAGATTTTCCCATTATGACCATCTTTAACCACACAAAATGCTCGATAATTGGCTACATAATTGCCTATTCCCACTTCACAAGATTCTTATAACAGAATCCCCACTCTCATAAGCTTAAAACACTTTTAGGAGTTCGTAAAAAAAGGAGTGAAAAAAAAAAATGGTGCAGGTACTTACTGCTCTACGGAAAGCAAACATCTCCTCTTGACCAGACAATAAAGATGTGATTCCGGAAGGGGCAGGTCCCAAGCCAACACTACCTGCTGCTAAAACATCTCGACGCAGTTTTCCACCTTCTGTTTCAGTTTCAAACTGAAAACTGCAAAGTCACAGTTTGAAGAGTTTTCTGTTGATTCCATCTGTAAATGTGTTTGTAACAGGACTATGGTAATACATTGGCAAGTACCTCTCAAGGTCAAAAAGAGTTCCTTCATCTGTCCCTTGAAAGAGATCATCAATTGAACAAGCTGCTAAACAGAAAATACAGCAGTGATGATTGTATAACTCATCAATCAAAGTGATAAATCTCCGTGCCTGAAAGTGCCAAACAGAAAATTATTAGTAGTAACAGTAAAGAAAAAGGAAAATTGAAATAGAAAGGAAAGGATATTCTTTAATGCCCTCAGAGAGTCTTGATAATTGACAATTACAAAAAAAAAAAAAGCAAATTCTGAACAAAGATGGGAAGAAGAGCAAATCTCATTAACCGAAACTGAAGTTGCAGGAAACTAGAAATTTCAGAAGCCAAATTAAATTATCATGAAAGTGTTGTGAAGAAAACAATAATATAAAAAATATCTGCAAAAAGAATACCTTGTCACGTATCCTCATACTCATGACCGGAATATCCGATACGAAAACTGTATGGTAATGTCTAGCTACTGCAATATAGTCTGATGCCCCAACCTGATTATAATTGAGACAGAAGTTAGTGGCATAACTGATTTAGAAAGAATTACATGGATTATGCAAATATACCCCTGAAAAAAATAGCATTTTCTAATAAACAGTAAATTTTAAAGAAGAAACTTCTAGGCCTATCTAAATCAAAAAAGAAAATCAAGTATGAACTAACCAGATTATCTATCTCAAACGAGAGAGTGGCATAACTCATTTGGAAAGAAATACATGGATTATTTAAATATATCCCTGGAAAAATTAGCATCTCTAATAAATAGTAAAATTTAAAGAAGAAACTTCTAGGCCTATCTAAATCAAAAAAGAAAATCAAGTATGAACTAACCAGATTATCTAGAAAGTTGTAGAACCACATTGGTTCTAAATCTCATGAACCAGTGGTACTTCAGGCAAAGAAATCTTACCACCTGATCATTTAGCAAGTCATCAGAAAACTTTGATGAGTGCATTAATAAGTTCTAGTTTATGTTTATTTCCATATCTTATATGAGTTTCTCTAGTAGTTTGGAAATTAATGGTTGCCAGTTAATAATTCATAAAAATATGAAAATAAAAAAGCCTCCAGTTGATGTTCTGTTTCTAGCAAATCCTCTAAAATTAAAATCATGTACCGTCATCCCTAATAATGAGTCATTTTGATGGTCAAGCTATCATAAAATAAATAAATAAATAAAAAAGAAAAATATGTATTTCAAGTAAAAAGTGTTCCATCATTAAGGAACTTTACACTCACAAATTGACATAAAACATTACCGGGCGGCCACATATATACTCGAAGTTGAATCTCGCTATTCCATTACAGCTTTCAGGAACTTCCAGACATCTGTTCAGGAAATTATTTACACATTAATTCACACCAATCATATATTTATCAAGTATAAATATGGAAAAGGACACATACCTCCCAAACATCACAGGAATAACAGTGGAAGTAATTGCCCCTCCAGCTTTCCTGGTGACCTCACACCACATTCTTTCATACTCTCTACAAGCACCGGTGCTGGAAGGCCAAAAAAAGGAAACCTGCAGGTATATGTCAAGATGCTTAAACTTAAATTTTTGAACTCCTCGATAATAACTATACACGAAAATGCCCACTATTGAACCACAAGATGTTCCATATGCTGGATTTTAACAATGACATTTACATAAACATAAAGTATCACCACACTGTCACGGACAAACTTCGAAACAGGGTGTTTGATGTAATGCTTATGTATGTCCGTGTCTTTTGGCATGTTCATGCCTTGTACAGCATGTAGAGGGGCGGCCGAAGACTTAATAGTCCTATTTTAGTTGGGTTGGTTGCCTCTTTAGGCTTGTAAATAAAGGTTGTGTCATGTGGACACGTGCGAGAGCTTTTCGGTCTGTAATGGACCATTTTACCCTTTGTTGTGCCACTGTTCAGAGCTTGTAAAGTCTGTTTGTAATTTGCATTGTCTATGAAGTGTTTTTCGGACATGTTTGCTTGTGGATCCCGATTGAGGCGTTCTCTTTAACCCGTTCTCTCTTTTGTTGGTCCTAAGGGACAATGGGAGGCTTCGGGGAGGCTGACCTTTGCGGACGGACGCGCGAGGGTGCCGCACAACTTAGGCAAAACCAGCTAAGTCCGTGACATATGGTATCAGAGCGGGATAAGCACTCGTAGA